TGGTATATCATAATATAATGAATAAAAGATGAAGAGATATTACTGTCGTTATCGAATTTGTCGTGGCCGCGTCGGGGGATTTCGACGGATGGGATAAAGAAAGAGCCATGTTCGCCCAAGCAGCTCCAGTGAGTGCTTTTGTAATGGAATGTTTAGCACATATTTGAAAGGAACAGACGTAACATTTAATAAATAATACTTCACGGCTACATTGCACCGTTAAGCCTTCGGAGTGTGCAAACCAGGTCACAGTGGATTACAGGGAAAAAACGAGGGAAAATGGGGAAAAACGGGAAAAAACGAAAAGTTGTTAGTTGGCTTTCCCCGGGTTCTGCTCTCAAGTGAAACTCAACAAGAGATTCCATTCTGAATGTGGAAGCCCCAAAGGTTATAAGAAAGCCCAAAATGTCACCATGAAGGGATTCGACAGTTCAACTACTTTCCAGAAGATACAATATGATAACTCAATTCACTTGATGCTACGTAAAAGAGCATTTTTGGGCAGGATTGTGCCTGCAAGCCCATAGATTGCTTCAAGAGTAAAGGTAAGGAAAAGAAGCTTCAAAACAAGAAACAAATTGGGAAAAAAAAACTAAGAAGCAATGAAATGGGGACAATTCCTCGTTGTTACCCCGTGTCCCAAACTTTCTGACTTGTTGGAAGGCAATATCCAAAAGCAATTGGGCGAGGCCAAACATGGCTAAATCCAGATTTTCCCACAAATTTCAAACTTGACCTGCCACACCAGGAAAATCGTGAAATGCCACCTTGATCCCATCTCGGCTCTCAGAACTTCATCGCAAGGCGTTCACACCGAGTTCAAAGTCAGTGCCTGTCCAGAGGGGCTGGCTTTTCTGCAAGAAATCCAGATCAATATCAGGTAGGGATGATGTGCAAGCTGCAAACAAGGCCGAAAATCAGAATTTTGCTTCTACTCAAATCTCAGCCACACATTGAAGATGCTAGGCATGGCCAAGCATTAGAAGCCAATTAAGCCTAACTGGAGCATACATCCAAACCAAGAAGGATGAAATATGAAATGGATATGAATCTGCTTCTAATTGGTCTAGCACATGTGCAGTACTAGTGCAGAGGGCCATGGAAGCTGGAAAGAAAGTGAGAAATAAAACTTACATGAGACCAACAATAAGATAGTATCATGCATACCAGCCTGTCACTGAGCCCTGCAGTACTTGTATTATCACTGAAGCTGATGGAAGGAGCACCTCAGGACTGAATGGTCACACAACCATCAACTGCTTCAACTGTACTCAAGCTCAACCATCGATGCATGCAAAACAGGCCAACATTTTAAACGACACTGTAAAACTATCCCTGGGGTTAAATCCTTTTGCTCACACCACATGCTCAATTGTGCATGGGGATTGAATACAATTTGACATTATTTTGCAACTTTGCCCATAAAATCATGTTCCTTAGCTCACTTGTTCTAAAGTAGGGGATCCAGCCAAATGTAAACATGGCAACTAATTATTTTAGACATTGTCAAGAGAAAATTAATTGGAACTAAACTATTGAAATGATGGGTGAAGCAATGTATTAATATTTTAGGGGGTGGGGGGGGGGACAGGCCAAGAATTCACTTGCCCCTGGCCTTGCAACTTCTTGATCTGGCCCTGCATTCACCCTTTCATTATTTGTGGAATCAGGAGAGGAGGGGGGGGGGGGCGTGACTGTCCCTTCTCTGGCCAAGTTTGCAGTCTATTTTTTTAATTTAGAAAGCACAGAAATTAATGTTATTAGTACAGCTGGAAATGGATATTCAGGGTTTTTACCCCAGATGAAAAATGAATAAGGCGATAGGACAGAGCGTGGTGGTAGATGACAGGGGGGGGGCTGGGAACTAGGAAACAGGTCCCCCCCTACAAGAAATTTCTGAATCTGCCACTGCCTTCAGCTGCCAACGACGATTTATATGCTGCCGGAGAAAACTAGCAAAAAAAATATGACTCCCACATAATTCAATAGTAAGGAATTGGACAGTGGGCCCCATTTCATTCCTTTCACCAGGGCCCATGTCAATCATGCTATGCCACTGGATGGCAAGGGGTTAAGATTCACTCTTGGACAGTATAAGGAAACAGGATTTCCTGGCGTATAGCTTGTATATAGTCCCACAAACAAAGCCCAAAATGGGACATGGAAATTATTCAAAGTCAATGGTAGACACCAGATAGAATGGACACCATGAACAATTTTCCTCAGCATGTGCATTAAGATCATTTTAGAATAATGAAATAGTCACGACTTCCTTTCTCAATAAGCCATGCAACTATATTATAAACAGACAAAAAGTGATAATGACAGGCTCCTCAACAGTGAAAAAGGTGAAAACAAACCAACAAAGGGCTTGCATATGAGTAGTATGGCCCCAGATAAAAAAAAAAAGGAACAAAGATGGAGACTTTTGCCTCCCATCATCACAAGGACATTTTTCTCTGTTAAGTGTAAGGCTGTGATGTAAACATAAAAGGGAAAAGATCTTGACTATTTGTCTGAGGCACCAAAGACCAGGGAATAAATTCATGACCAGGGCATAACTGTGAATTCTAGTAGAATTCATAATATACAATTTTGAGGAATTTTTCTTTCAACTTCTTTCCATTTAGAAAAAAATTTAAAACTGTTTATTTTCCTCTCCCTTGTAGGCAAGGTGGCCTCATAAAAAAAAAAAACTGCTTCACAGATATAATGGCCCAGCACTTCATGGCAGAACATGTCTCACAGGACATGAGTGTCTGTTGCTTTGTACTGGAATGAAGTCCCATGGAAAACTTGCATCATCCTCCATCGTTCGAATTCTGGAGGTCCATAAGTCTTTGAGTCCTTGTCACAACATTTGCATCCTTGGTGAGGCCTTCCTGTCCATCCTCTGAGGTTGTTTTTGAATGTTCACTTCCTGCTTGCAAAGGATCCACTTCCACAGAAGCGGCCAATGATATGGTAGGAGTGCGAGATGAGTTGCCTTTATCCTCTTCATCCTTGAAGAACATAAGAAGAGGTCTTTCGAATCCCTGAGACTTGTGCTTCGGATATCCAATGGATTCCATGGCCGAGAATCCCACTTGCTTCAGCAGAATCTCAGGGAAATCTCTTGGCCTGATCTGGAGGTTCTTGAAAGTCTCTTGGATCTCCAGCTAATTACAAGAACATTTTAAAAAATCAATTCAAAGAAAGACACAATGAAAACATGAATAAACAACTCAGACACTACCAGACTTTGAAAGGTTAAAAAAAAAAGGCTCAAGACAAGGCTTTTATGAAATATGTGCTACAGCACTACAAAAAATCCAAATCCACTCAACTATAAGAATGGAAAAAGTCCATCCTCCCTGGAAATATGAAATTCAGAGCTTCCTAATAAAAAAATATGTTCAATCAGTTAGTTATTTGCATTTACAGCTGCACATGAAATTTAGCTAATAGCAGGAAAAAGAAGTTAAAAAGAGTAAAAAGCAGTAAAAATAACTGCATCAAAAAGGATAGAATGAAAGTGTAATAAACTTGGCAAATGAGCTAAAAAATAGGATACGATAAAGTGAATACTTTATCCAAACTAATGCTAACAGGTTTCTGTATTGGGCTTTTTTTTCTAATTTTCTGTTATTCTTTACATTGCAGATTTGTACAAGCAGTCACTAATATTCTCAAAGCTCATAAAATATGCATGAATGTGAAGCACACAAGGGTAAGAGCAATGAAATACAAGGAATTCCAGAAAAGCACTGCTCTTCAGCTATGGTGTGTTGGCATAAAAAAACAAACCTAGAAGTATACTTAATCCAGAGTCGATGCCATCAAACATCAATGAATATCGATTAGGAGGGAAGGATCATCCCATAAGTATGAATCACAAGAAGGGTAAAGGAGAATTCCAGTAGATGTGGGAACTAATGACAGATACTCAAGCCATGTTCTAAGAAACTCCCACCAAAAGGAACAATCTGAATGGGAAGCAGGTGAAGTAAAACACTCACACTGAGTTTCTTCCTTTTGTGGTAGGAGTGCCATGGTTGCGGTTCCAGGATGAATTTCCCTCCTGGACGCAAATGCTTGAACACACGATGGAAGAGGCGCATGATCCCTTGGTCCCCCCAGTTTAGATGCACCCATTTGGTAATGCTGAGGCACAGGATGACATCATATTCTGCCTTCGTCCTCTCTAGTATTTCCTCACCTTTTCCAATGTAATTCCCCTGTATCAAAGAATTCAGAATTTAAAGGGTTTGGCAAATACAGACATTGTAAGCTTATAAGTAAATAAAGGGCATATCTCAAGTGCAACCAAGAAACGTAGAGAAGAATGACTCACAGCAACAAAGGACACATTGTATGGAAACTGGATATCATCACCAATCTTGGTAGGCATTGGGATATTTGGGGCATCCAGTCGCCCATACATCTTCACAAAACTCTTTGGGAAACTTTCTGAAGGCTTTCCAGAAGGAGGCAGATAATGTCGCATGTTTTTCTTGGCAATCTTGATGAGACGGTTGTCAATGTCAATGCCAACAATCTTCCGAGGAGCATAATCTCTGCCAATACTCCATGTTATATGCCCTATGTTGCACCCAATATCAAGAACATCTTTACCTTTGAACCAGTCCTTCAGAAAACACGACAGGCGAACATCAAGGGCACCTTTCTCATTTCGCTTTCCATAGTAGCGAAGGTAATTCCCATACCGAAACACTTCCTTCACTGGCTGTACTTTAGGTTCCGTGGGTTGTGGTCTTGGTTTTGGCTGAGAACAACTTGGAGAAGGAGTTTCAACTTTTGGTTTATCAGAATCTGTTGGTTCAGCAGAGGAAATGGTGATGATGACACTGGATTCAGGCTTTGGCTGAATGCAGGATGCAACTGAAAGCTGACTTTTAGAGATCACACGACATGTCATTGCCCTCAGGCATCCAACATCACTTTCACTCATTGCTCTCACTCGTTTGCCAATAATAGTAGGTTTAGGTTGTTCACTATCACAACCCATGAATTCCATGCTGGGCCGTTTCCGTTTGTTGGGCCTCCGACCACTATGCTTCCTCTGTTTATTAGGGGAAGAATAATTGGAATCTAAGTTCAGGGGATCATTAATGTTGATTGGTATGAGAACCTCCACTTCCTCTTTCTTATGACTGGGTGTTGTCATCGGTGAACACCGTGGAGTGGCGTTGGCAGCCCGATTCACATGTTCATCCTGCAAGCTGCTCAGATTCAGAGGATCCTTGATGTTCCCTCCAAGCAAGAAATCAGAAGGAGGCTGAATCCCACCCCGACGTAAGAGAGCCTGATCGTCCCATGGTTGACGACGCAGCCGTGGCCTCTTGTTTGGCGAACGCTCGCTTTGGGTCGACCATGACGCCTGTCTTTTCCAAAGATTCTTCATTTTGCTATTCTGCTTCCCAGGCTCTTTGATGTGAACTAATCGCACATCAGAAGACATATCTTCAGGCAACATTCAAGCCTCAGGATTCAACTGGAAGGCAGAGAAGCAATCATTATGACCTTGCTAAGAAAATCTGTCAGGTCCACTACCTTATTAGCTTCATACAATCAGTAGGTATAATATGCAAAACTGAAGAAAATACATCTACTAAGTCTACACAGAGGCTTACAACTGAAAATGTTCAGATGACTTCACATTTTCTTCAACTGACTTGAATGAGAGTTACCTTACAGGTACTTCCATGGTTTTTGTAAAAAGTAGGTCTATGGGAAATAGTATGAGGCCTACTTTTTTACTGTTCATATTAGAGGACGTAATGGAACAAAAATCAATGACCGTGGCCAGCCAAATGTCTCTGAACAAATCAGGAAATGTTTTCTTTTTATATACATTTATACATTTAAACTGGAGTAAGCTAGAGTTGATCCATACAAAAACAATTCTAGTTCCTTCCAAATTAATTGATTACAAACCAATGCATCATATTGTGACAAGGAATGGACATCCCACTTCCTTCTCACAATCAGACAAGGAATTTGGTTGCAGTCATGTTAGACAGATGCCTGGGGTTTCCATGGCATTGGGTAGAGTTCATAAAGGCTGGCAACTATGCAGAGGCAATTTACAGAGGCAATAACTAATGAAAAATCACTGATTTCTTAAAATGGAACACATATGAACTCAAATTCAGAACCATGTGAATGGGACCAAAATGCCAACTTAACCTCAAAGTTAGTTACCTTCCTTTCTACTGATGGGAGACTTTTTAATCTTTAATTCAGAAATATATTTAAAAATAAAAAAAGACCAATTCCAAGGAATTTATTTATTGATTCCTTTGTTTTTTATATATTTATTTATTATATATTTCATATGGACTTTTTACTCATTTATCAATGTCAACAGTTTTGCATTAATTTCAGTCCATCCACCTTCTCCTTTTCCCCTCACTCCCAATTTCTCCAAACTTCAACCAAGTGATCAACAATGCTAGGTTTAGTGGATGAGTGATTTGATCACCTCCAACATAAGCTGCAAAACAGCAAATTATGAGTCCCTGCAGGATTTAGAGTGTGGCATCAAGCCCTTCAACATCATCAATCCACCAAGTTTCCATTGGGTGTCTCCTTAATGTCAAAGTAACAGAAACCACCCTATGTGCCACATTTAGAACATGCAGGTATAGTACACCTTAAAAAAAAAAAAACACAATCACTTGAACGAGTCTTGAGCCTGGGCAATATGTGAGCCACCCCTGTTTCATGGAGGACAGTGAAGAGACATCCCTACCTGACAGACTGTGATTAGGTAAGGTACATGTGCCATGCAGGCATCCTTTTGTGTGAAATATAATACCCCATCATATGCATCTGCCACATGTTCTGGCTTGAGGAAAGAAAGCAAAAAAGCATACCCATCTCATCTCACTCCTTGCAATAAGATAGCTAGCAGCTGATCCCCAACCCTTGCAGAAGATTAACCTGATTCAATCTGCCTTTTATTTTGCTAGGTCAGCATAGGGGACTCTACAATTACTCCCACACTCCTAGAACAAGATGAATGTAAGAGCCATGAGCATATTAATATGGATAGACTAGCAGGTAACTTCTCTAAGCAGCACATGCATGCCATTTTGCAGAATAAGCGTTGGAAACTCATCACGCATAACAGGCCTTGGTAACCCAGAGCAGCCATGTCATATGCCCTGCCCAGACCCCTGTGTCTGCTAGCATGTGCACTGTATTCAGGTATGGGGTTGATCCTCTTGGACTGACCCAAGTCATGTTGTTCAGGTGGGGTTTTATACACACTTCCATCCTAGTCTTCCTCGTTCTGGTGAGACCCATCAGCACACCAGCAAGGTTTGTGGACCTTGATGATTCCTTTCCCAGTTTGGTGTCAAAGTCCAAAGAGAGAGAAAGTCAACCTATTTTGGAGGATGATGGGTCAGTTAAGTTAGAAAAGGGTTGTGGCCTTTGGCTGTGATTATTTTCTAACCCAACTGACCTTTTATCCTCCAAAATAGGTTGACTTTCTCACTCTTTTGGCCAAACCTAGAAGGAATATGGCTCCCAAGGTATGTGTTTATCACTAGTTCTCTGAGGTTAGAGTGTGCTTAAGTTTAGTGGAAACCCACAAAAGCTTTTGGAACATTAGTCTGAGTCTCTAGCTTCGAAGTGATTACATTATTCAGTGGGTAAATATGGCAGCAGCAATGGCACTTACTGTTAAAACAAAAATGGGCATTCTCTGCCTCCGTTCAACATGGCTGCCCCCAGCATGGGGGAGTAATTGTAAGGGTGGTCCAAGTTAAAGTAATATCCATATTTGTGTATTAAATCAATTCTAAAATGAAGCTGTTATGCATTTATTTTTCAGATAGGACAACGACTAAGGAGAACATAGTAAATTTCTGAGTCTTGCTTAAGGAAGGATTTCCTAAAGAGCACTGATTAAGGAAATGCATACAACATCATGGCAAGTCATATAGCCTTATAAGTAGTGGGCCAAATTATGCAGGTGTGTCATATGGCAGCAAGTGTTCAAAACTTAACCACCATGCAACCCCAGGCTAGTCTGCTCACTTCAGCAATGATACCACTGACAAAACTGCAAGATACTGCATGCAGCACTGTGTAAGGCAGAATGAGAGCTTAGGAATGAATGCTTAAACCTGATAAAGACACACAGGTCATTCAGCTTAAGATCTCATTTTCCTTCATAGGAGTCTATTGATTCTTAAAGGGCCATTAAACTTTATGAAACAAATATCCCAAAAATCAGGCAGTAAAAGTACTATGGGACAAGTGAACTATAGGCATGCCAAATGCAAAAATGAGAATATTAGCAGAACTGTTCCATAAAAGAATAAAATCCAGACTTCGACTTTGAATTTTAACATTAGATCTCACACAAAATTCCTTCAGGAATAGCAATCAATTGAAAAAATCATTTTAGAGGCCATTGAGGGATAGAGACTATTTTATAAAGGGTAACAAAAAAGGAAGTTTCAACATTCAAGCCTTAAGCTTCAATGGATTTGCCAATTTGCACATGACAGGGCACTAAAATGCTCCTAGGGTATCTATAAATAACTTTTCAATTAACCATTATCTCAACAGGCATGCACTAGGTCTAGAGCTTCTTACAGAAGTAGTCACTAAAATTCAGGAAATTTGGTCATGTGCCATTGTGGCATAATGCACTAACGAATCAGGCGCATTAATATAAATAGAGCATTGAGCCATTGGTCAAATGCAAGAAGTACATTGCAATTCTCATTCAAATATCACTATAGGTCGAAAGCAGGGAGGTGCAGTCTATAAAAAAACAGTGGGCAACCATAGGTAAGCTATGGGAAAAGTTAGGGCTGCAGAAAACTCACCAGATTGGCAGTGCAATGTGTCTCAAACAAAAGATAGTTCTTTTTTAGTACTTCACACCAATATGGCACAAGCATCATGACAACTGAATAATATATATTTCTGACTGATAGATTTAAACATATTCCAAATGCTTCAAAAGCCAAAAGCTTTAGAAATTATTTTAATCACCAAAACAGTAGAAAAGAATCTATCAGCTCATGTTGCTCCATGTCAGGTACTTTCCTTTAGTAAGCATGGCTGAACAAAAATGGCTGTCATTAGCAAAATTGCCTTTAGAAAAAAAATTCTCTCACCATGAGTTACAAATTCTTCCATAGTGGAAACTACAGTCCATTCATAAACATATTTATGAAAATCATGTGAGCCTCATGGTTTTCTTGGCTTGGACATCTCAAATGAATGGAAAGTTAGATATTCAGCATGCAGAAAACATAATTTCTAAAAAAATATCAATCATTTAGCTTCCATGGTAACACTGAATGAGGCATAAAGCAAATGTCATTCTTTCTTTGTGCCAATTGAAGCAACTGACAAGAACCAGATTGAAGCTTGCTTCTTCACTGGTTTATGCTATTTCAAATTTAAAAGATTAATGCATTTGCAGCACTGGCTAAAATTTCATCTACAACTTTGCTGACAATCAAATTCATCTAAAAAGACAAATGCAGAGAAACAAGAGACATTAAATGGAGATGGGTACAAAGCCAGCACCCTTCTTTATAAAAATCCATTAACCAGCAAATCTGAGACAGTTTTTGGAACAAATTTTTCAAAAGGGTGGCAGGAATACAGAAAAGCTTTCAACTCAAAGTATTTGCATTTGGAATGCTGTCACTATCAGCTAGTGACCAAGCAAGTGCATCCCTGGTCTAGGGCCTAACCCAATAAAATAGATTTTATGTAACTCCAGACTAAACCCTGGAAGACACTGTTTGAGAGCACATAAGGCTTAGGATTCACAGTGTCTTGAAAATGAATTTGAACTGTCTTGTACATCGTGCAATTGGCATGCCGGAGGAATTAAAGGTAGAGGCAAAGCACTTAAGAAATACATAGTGCAGTGATATTTCTATTCAAGGAAATGAAGGTATAACTCCTTAGATAGTAATTCCATTAGGCCTAAGAAACTCATATTCAAGGTGGTACAGATTCATTAGCAAAATACTATAGGGTAACTGACATTGCCTATTTCAGCCTAAGGATGTAGTTAAAAAATGGATTTGTCCTGGACCTTCAGCCAATAGTTCAACGAGCCAACATCCACTTCCCCATGCAAGCAAAAGCAAACGGGTTGACAATGTTTCAGTGAGGGTAACTGCACACCTTGCAACCCATTACCTCCAAGCGACCGAGTTTACGAAATCTTATCTGCAGGCCAGGAACGGGGTGTGTCTACTATTACCGGATTAGGTGCAAAGCCCCGCCCACTTCCATAGCCGGTCACGTTTCCATTCCAGACTCGATTCCGCAAACTCATCGCACAATGGAGGCACGCGTCCCACGGGTGCCGCTTCCGCGCTTTTGTTTGGCGGCATCAGCAGTCACAATTCTCGACTACTGTCCGTCCAACTTTAAGACTCTGGCTGTATGTGCATTCACGAACGTCGAGATTGCCAACGCACAAATCGGCGATTATGCTGGAAGACCTACGACATACGAGTGAAAGTTTATGAAGAATTGGAACTGTTAAAATGTAGTGAAAGGTGCCTTAAAGATCTGTCACCTACTCTTCCATTCGTTACGGAGATAATGTCCGGCTTCCTCCAGCACAAAGAAACAGCTCGTAATGGAACACAGGATAGGGCCTTTCCGTGTACTCCTAATTCATCAACGAAGACGTTGACATAACAAAGGAAACACCTGGGAGAGGGCGGGTCAACAAAATGAACCGTGTCCGGGATCGAGAGAACGTAGCATACTCCACCCGTCTGTGAAACTAGGCGATTCCTAATTGTTAGCACCTTGTGCGATAATAAATAGGCCTAGAAGTGGTGGAACAGGACGAAATCGACGCAACCTGGTCGTGGAAGCCACGTGGGGAAACGAACTGGAGATAGAACGGGCAACCGTATTCCATTGGTCCGTCCTGCAACTGCGCACTCCCATCTTCCGCGCACCCCCTACGCCACTGCATAGGCTAAAACTAGGCCTAACATCATACCTACTTTAAAATAAGCCGAATTTCACTGCAAACTGGCACTACGAAGGTCAGTGAGACCCAAACGGGTTCTTAGGAACGATAAAATGCAGCCCGATTCGGTGGGAGATGGCACAAGAGGAGGGGGGCCAGGCGAGGCTGCAATGGAGGATAGCAGCCTGCCTGCGTCTGCCATCGTCAGAGACTAGCTCGCTGAAAAGAGCGTCATGAACAGTGTTGCCGAAAACGAAATCGTGTCCCTCACCATTCGATCCTCAGACTCGCCCCGCTCGGCCCTCCGCGCCCGGCTCGAAATCCCGAGCAACTCTGAGCGAAGGGACGGCCCGACATCCCGTGACGTGTGGCCGCCCGGCGAGGTAATGGAACGGCGACGGCCGACGATTCCCGCGAACCGCTTTCGTATGCGCAGATTTGCGTCCGTCCGAGCAGAAGGGTCATCCCAAACACATCATCATCGATCCCACTCGACTCCATTTGAAGCCAATTAGCGGAAGTTTATGGCTTTCCTCGTTTAACTCGGCGACCTTCACGCGCATGGTAACCGACGCGGGAAAAGCCCTTACGCCATCTTCCACGCGCCACCACCGGCCGCTTGCGTCGAGGTCAAGGTCGCTCACGACAACAAGAGGAAAAGCGGAAAGATCCGCGGGCACCGATAAAATACCTGCAACGGGTGCCAACCAGTACCTCCCACGATGAGATGAAGCAAGCGAACACTTCCCGTGTGCACAGCAATTCCTCATTTCTTTTTTTTTTTTTGAATAAACACTCGTTCCCGGTTTATCTAAGGAACTTTCCTAACTCGGCTCTTCTTTTCCCATGATTGTTCTTCCCCGGTCTCACGGGAAATTGAATCTACCTTTTAAATGCATTACCATATTTTCCTTTAAGTAGTACAGGATAAGTCGGAGTTCGCGGACGTATCTTTTCCATACAAACTGCAAAATTTCAATAAATAAATAAATAAATAAAAGCAAGAAAAAAAAGGAAAAAAAAAACAAGCGTGAGAGCACGGACCCTCGAATCCTCCCTTGACCCTGTCAAGTCTCCCGCAGTGGTGGGGGGGAAGGGGGGGGGAAGGGGGGGGGGGGGGGGCCCCCCGGGGGGAATATTCAAACAAACTCCCCCCCCCCCCCCCCCCCCCCCCCCCCCCCCATCCAAAGAATACCCCTCGAAAACCCATCAAGTCCATGTCAATCGATCCAGTGGCAATCCAAAAGAGTGCAAACATCTGGCCCCCCCCCCCCCCCCCCCCCCCATAGAAAATTCTCCAAGCGAGAAGACAAGCAGCGCAGATAAGATATAAGCCACATTGCAGGGCGCGAGACGAGCGGTTCAACTTCGACATTTATGAGATGGGGACGAGCTTCGTGGAACTCGAGAGACTTTTAGTGTCATTTCGGAAGCCCCGTGCCCGTCCCGGCGAGATTCCCCCATTACCGCTCAAAACACTAAGGCAGTCTTTAAAAAAAATCAATAAAATACAAAATTCCATGGGGGCACGCCCTTTAAAGAAACATGGAAGCCATGAAGCCACGAGAACCTGCAGATGGATTCACTTTCCATTTCAAAACGTCTCTGAAATCGGTCTCGTCGTTTCGCTCGTATTCGTCCGCCTCTTTCCGCACGAAATCGCGAGGAACAAGCGGGAAGCGTCTCCGGACGATTCCGGAGCCAAACCAGACTCGAACCGATGTTTACGATGACGATGGCCAACCCCCAGTCGTAAATAGGTCCCAAGCGAAGGCCATCACGAATGCGATCCACCTCCACGACGACGATACGGGGGCTAGACCACGACACGCAAGGACACCGAACCGACGCACCGAGCCAAACACGTGCTAGCAATCACTCCTGAGGCCCAACTGAGTGGAATTGGGGGAGGGGGAGAAAAGGGAAGTCCCGCGCATGCTCGTTCGTCCTGCCGCATTTGTTATCCCCTCCCCCACTTCCCCCCCTCCCCTCCCCTCCCCTCCCCCCTCCGACACACACACAGGAAGATTCGGAGAGTCACGTAAGCATACAAAGACCTTTATTTCTTATCTTAATAATATCTATAACATCTGAGACTGGTATTTGCGTGAACCGGGGCGTTCCCATTGTCTGGGTGAAGGCATGAATGGACCCCGCACAAAGAGATCCGAAATGAAGGCGTCTGGCAACCCCTTTTAAAGAAATTCCACCGAGATGACTCTGAACACACGAAAAGGTGTGACCCAGAAGTTCCCGGACTGATGATATATAAAATGATAGGTATGAAATGAAAAGAACTTACCATAGTCTCCTTCAAAATAGTCTCCTTGCCAAGCCACACACTTCTCCCAACCGTGTAGCCACGCCTTCTTTTCTTGCAAGGTTTTTTTTTTACACTAACTCATAGTGTCGTCCTTTCAAAGAATTTTTGAGCTTGGGGAACAGTCACACTGGGCCAAGTTGGGTGAATACGGAGGAAGCCCTAGCTGAGTGATGTAAAAACTTGCCAAAAATTCCCTCACTGCGAGAGCACCGTGCGATTGCCATGGTGAAGAATCCGGCGATCGCGCTCTCGACATTTTCATCGATTCGGGAACTTTTTGGCCGTCCACATCGCTCATTATCATTCACGTCTTCTCTTCCTTCCTTATCTCTCTTAATCTCTTAAACCGTTCAAAAGCCTGTGTTCTTGACATAACCTCATCACCGTGAACTATTTCCAACATCTCGTGCGTTTCGTTAGAGGTTTTGCCAAGTTGGGCACCAAATTTGAGATTCGCTCTTTGGTCCAAAAATTTGCGGCTCATTTTTACGACGAAAGCAAGAAAAACCTTTTAAGAAAAACCAGCACAGCACAAATCAGACTAAACACACGTTTGCGAGCTCAAACAATGTCGAGAACAAAGAGTCGGATGCCAGTTTTCCTGCGCCATTGTTGCCACAAAGTAAACAACAACAAAAAAAATCAATCCGGAAACTTCCGGGGTCACACCTCGTAAAACTCACCTCGAATTTCACGCCGTCGATCATCATCGAGGAGGATCACGATCGCACAAGGTCCAAGATTTTAACGGGGCTTAAAATATCAAAACTTTGATTTGCAATGGCGGCCACTGAAGGAGTACAGGTACTGGATTGGAGTACAAGCACTGGGGAACGAAGGGAGTAGTCAGTTTCCGATGAAATTGTGCTCTTTTCTGTTTTGTCTCTTCCATCTCCGACCGAGTTTTTTCAAAAAACCCTTTTAGCACAAAGCCTTCTAAGAAAGACGCGACATGATACTTTAAACTGCATACTTAAAAAAAAAAAACAATTCGAATGAAGCAATAGGAAGCAGGCTTCATGACAACATATGGAACACACGGAGAAGAGCATCAACATTTTTAACTAGCAAAAATAAAGGCAGTCAAGTTCCGATGTCACCGATTTTGTTTCAACGGATAGGGGAGCGGCGCAGTTCAGATTTACAAAAAATGGAATTCACCAATGAAATGAGAGACGTGCTTGAAATTACAGCTAACGACCCACAAACAGTATATTCGCCGGTCGTCTCAAACTCCAAGCGGGCAGAGTCAATGCGGGGGTCGAACTTGGAAATGGCCGCAACAAATCTTAAATTGAAATAGGGACTATACAATTGTAAAAAAAAAAAAGTTTGTGTGGTATCTCAATTTAGGACAAAGAATCGACATTGGCACTTAAACCTGATTTATTCGTTTCTAAATACTCGAAATGAGGATTTATTGCGAAGAGAAGGTCGATACTGATAATGAAGGTAACGTATATTCCAAAAATACACAAAAAGGAGACCTTTTATTTGAAAACGAGAGCGACCAAAAAAAGAAATGGAAGTCATCAAACATGGATAATATGCTACGATGACGAATCGAAGCAAGACGAAGCAGCACCCGCAACATTCCAAAAGAAACGAGAAATCTCCATCTCTGCCACCTGACCAAATACCAAACTGTAAAATTTTCTAAGCATCGCAAGCTGAGTAAACAACGTTTGTATAGTTGCCATAGCCGAGGGAAGCAAAGAAAATACGGCTCTAAAAAAAATCCTACTGAATCCAAATCGATTCCTCTGCCAAGCAACCAAAAACATTACAAAAAAAAACTCTACATTCAGAAACGGGGGAAACAAAGTTAATCTGCCTAGGATGACGAAACGAAGCAAGAAGAAGCAGCTCCCCCAATGTTCAAACAGAATCGAGAAATCGCCACCTCTACCACGAAACCAAGCACGATACCGGAAATTTCTCTAGGCATCAAACACTAGCAAAACAAAGTTAATCTAGCCACAATAACGAATGGAAATGATGCTCTTAAAACCATCCAACTGAATCCAGAAGAGATCCCCTGCCACCGAACCAAGAACGCAACGGAAAATTATTCTGTGCATCACAAAATGCTGAAAACGATTTTATATGGCTACGATGATGAATCGACGCAGGAAAGTACAGCTCTCAAATCCATTCTATTGAATCCAGAAATCGCCGGCAATATCAAATAACCAATTTCGCCAATGAAAATTACCCTAAGGATCACCAAATGCTGAAAATGGTTTCAAACAGCTACCATAAAGAATCGATACACGAAAATGCATCTCTCAAAAATTCGAATGAGTCCAGAAATCGCAACCCATCACCCAACCAATTACGGAACGGGAAATTTTCATCACCTAATGCTGAAAGCGATTTTATATAGCTACGATGACAACTCTACAAAAGAAAATCCAGTTCTCAACACCATTCGATGGAATGAAAAAGTTGCTAACACCCTCGGACAACGTATTACCGAACGGAAAATTTTCTAAGCATCACCAAAGGGTGAATACGTTTTCAAATAGCTACGATGACGAATCGACGCTTGAAAATGCACCTCTGAATGCGCGATTGAATGAAGATACCGCCACTTCTCCAACACAGCCAAGCACGCAGGTGAAA